CGAACAAGGAGCGTACCAGAGTTTGGTGGACAAGGTCGACGGGGTCTTGGCCAAGATGATGGAAAGCGTTCAAGAAGCCCCCGACAAGGAAAAAGACGACACCGACGTCCCTCGTGACAACGATCAGGAAGAAGACGAGCGAGAACATGATGCGCGCCAACGCACCGAATCCAACCGCAGCGACGTGGACACGGATAAGGTCGCCAACGCCGCTTTGATTTCCGACGAAGACCGCAGTACCGGCGACGTGCCGTGGTCAACGTACAAGGTGTGGATCGATGCGTGTGGTGGCTTGGGCATGGGTTTCATGGTGATTTTCTTCTACATCCTGACCAACTGCGCCAACTTGTCGTCTACGTTTTGGCTGTCGTACTGGAGTGAAAGCGCGGCCGACACGACGCACAGTCAGTTTTACTACCTGTACATCTTCATGGGGCTAAACGTGGGAGTGATCACGCTCATGTTCGTGCAAAGTCTGGCGCTGTACGTGACGGGTCTGCGTGGGTCCACGCTCATGTTCAACCAGTTGCTGACCCAAGTGCTTCGTGCGCCCATGTCGTTCTTCGACACCACTCCGTTGGGCCGCATCGTGAACCGCATGAGCAAGGACGTGTACGCGATCGACGAGACGATTCCAGCCAACTGGGGCATGTTGTTCGGCACGGTGTTCAGCGTCATCACGACCATTTGCACTGTGGTATATGTGACACCGTGGTTTTCCGTCATTTTGATCCCGTTGGGCATCTTGTACTATGCCAGCCAGCGCTACTTCATCAAGACATCGCGGGAATTGCAACGGTTGGACAGCATTTCCCGATCCCCTGTGTACGCCTTGCTCACCGAAACGCTGGAAGGCCTTCCCACCATCCGAGCCTTTGGCGTCGAGCCTCAGTTTGCCGCTCGCAACGAGTACATGCTCGATCGCAACCAGCGCGCATACTTCTTGAACTTCAGTGCCAACTGCTGGCTCGCGCTGCGCTTGGAATTCGCGGGCACGATGGTCGCCACGGCGGCAGCGCTGTTTGCTGTGTTGGGCCATGAAGCCAACGCTGGCGTGGCCTTTGCTGGGTTGGCGGGTGTGTCGCTGTCGTATGCGTTCAACGTCACTCAAAGTCTCAACTGGAGTGTCCGCATGTTGAGCACCATCCAAACCCAAATGGTCAGCGTCGAGCGTATCCACGCGTACACGACGATGGAAGTGGAGGCGGAATTGAAGGCCGAGCCCATCAAGCAACTGGAATTGGAAAATGCCAAGTGGCCATCCCAAGGCAAACTCACGTTTAAGGACGTGGACCTGAGATACCGCGCAGGCCTTCCCCGAGTGTTGCGAAAGCTGACGTTTACGATCAACGCCAACGAGAAGATTGGGATCGTTGGACGTACGGGTGCTGGCAAGTCGTCGCTGGTTGTGGCGTTGATGCGATTGGTGGAGTTAGATGGCGGAGTTATCACCCTGGACGACGTGGACATTTCGACGATCGGTCTGCACGACCTCCGGGACAAAGTGTCGATCATTCCCCAGGACCCGGTGCTGTTTTCAGGCACCATCCGGTCCAACTTAGATCCGTTCGACCGGTACGCAGACGACGCCATTTGGACGGCTATCAAGCGTGCGAATCTGCACCAGGCCGTGACAGCGTTGGACGACAAGGTGGACGAGCGCGGTCAGAACTTCAGCGTGGGCGAGCGGCAGTTGATTTGCATCGCCCGTGCGCTGCTGAAGAAGTCCAAGGTGATTTTGATGGACGAAGCCACGGCGTCGATCGATGCCAACACGGACCGCCTGATCCAAGAAAGCATCCGCGACTCGTTCAAGGACTGCACGTGCCTCACGATTGCGCATCGCATCAACACCATCTTGGACAGCGACCGCATCCTCGTGATGGACAAGGGATCGGCGGCCGAGTACGACACGCCCGCGCAACTGCTCAAGAACCCCAAGGGCATCTTCACCAATCTCGTCGAACATTGGCGCGATGACAACGCTGAATAATCATTGTTGTTTGTAGTGGTACCTCAAATCAACATATGCATGTCTTTGATTCTCCCCTACTTCATATGTCGCGAGTGAGTCCATTGCATGCAGCAACAACGCCAACTCCATCGAGTGAGATAGAATGCATCACAAGTTCACATAAGCACGTGTCATCGTCAGTCATCCTGCACCTCATGTGTTTGGGCGACGTACCTCCGTCATGCCTCCTCAAGCTGTCGCCGTGCCGAGGGAGCGGAGTCTTGCGCCTTTCCGGACGAAATTTGAAATGATGAAACCGCGCGCGTAACCGTCAATCGAGAGGAAGAGCCGGTTGAGAATAATTACATCCGGTCGAAATATGTCGGCCCAAGAGTATTGTTGGATTCGATACGAATAGTCGAATCACGAATCGACGCTATTGGCTAATCCATTTTTGAGTGGATTTGATTGGCTCTGGGGCAAGGACAAGTATATTCAACCAATCAGAACTCCGGCGTGATTCAATTTTGATTCGACAAACCAGGCGAATTCACAATATACCCAAAAGTAGTATCATCCGGATAACGACGTTCCCATATTTTTAAACTGTGGCCAGCCAGATTTGATTGGCTTGTACTTTGCTCATCAATCAACCCATCGTAAACCTATCATCCATCAATCACCTTCTACGCGCGATGAGTGCCAAGAGCTTATACGACTTCACCATTGACCCAGAGCGCATTGCGCAACGCCCCCGTGCGTTTGGTAGCCAAAAGTTGCTGGTGTACCATAAGCAGCGCGATGAAATCGAGCACACGACGTTCGAGTTGCTACCGCAGCTGCTTCAGCCAGGCGACCTGCTCGTGCTCAACGACACACAAGTCGTGCCTGCTCAGGTACCTACCTATACGTAAACCTGGTGAAAAGAAGATGGCGGTCCACTGACCTATCCACGACCAACAGGTGCGCCTCGTAGAACCCATTGTGGGCGACTGCACGTCTTTTCTGTTCCTGGACCCGCTTTGTGCCGTGACCAGCACGATGGAAGTCCTTCTCAACACCCGCGTGGACGTGGGTAGTGTGCTTTCCCTCCCTGGGGGTCTGACATTCCGCGTCGACGAACTTGTCGGCGGCGATCCTGAAGTCCACCGCGGCAATCTGTTTGGTCTGTCGGGGCCGTTGCATGAATACTTGGCCGGCATTGGCGAAATGCCGCTGCCGCCATACGTCGCTCGTGTTCCCGACAAGGAAGACGAAAAGGCATATCAGACCTCCGTGGCCCAAGTTCCCGGTACATATATTGTCCTTTGATGCAAAATTTGGCCTTTTGTGCTGATTCTTTGCCAAATCTATCGATCGATTCCTTGTCCTGACTTTTGTATGTAAAGATCGTCCAGTATCACACTAATTTCAGTTAAACACTAATTCGGTGTTGCATTGGTAGTTGAATTTGTTTGGTCACTTGATTCGTGTGCTGGGTTTTGATTGGTCGATCGAATGTCTGAATTTCGAATCGACTTGACATCTCTTTCTACCCGACTCGATATATCTATGTATGTATTCATTTCAAAGTCCTTCATGCTTATTCTCCCCCCATGATTTCTAGGCGCGATCGCTGCCCCAACCGCCGGTTTGCATTTCTACCCCGCGCTCCTCGACCGATTGCACGATGCTGGCATTCACCACGTATGTGTGACATTGCACGTGGGATACGGTTCGTTCTTCTTGTTGTTTCCTGGGTTTTGTTGATTTTGAAATTGACACAGGCACGTTCCGCAGCTTCTCGACTGAATTCGTCGAGCACCATCAGATGGACCGCGAACGATACCACGTCAGCGTCGCCGCCGGCGCGGCCATCCACCAAGCCCTGCAAGAAAAACGCCGAGTCATTGCAGTCGGCACCACGGCCACGCGGGTGCTGGAAACATGCGCCGACTCGTTCCGCGCCCCCACACCGCCGGCCGACTTGTCGGGCGAGGCGGGAATCTTCATCTACCCGCCGTACGAGTTCAAGGTCCTGTCGGGGCTGTTTACCAACTTCCACTACCCCAAGACGTCGGTGCTCACCCTCACGGCGGCCATGGTGGGCTCCCGCGACCTCTTGATTGACCGCATTTACAAGGAAGCCCTGGACCGAGATTACCTCTGGTACTCGTACGGCGACGGCATGCTCGTGTTGTAAGAAGCACGGACCCCCCCCCACAAGAGTGTTTTCACGGCCTTCCTGTCGGTTTGTGTGCCAAGCTCGATCGATATTCCCGAGAAATACACTGAAAGTGTATAACAACGTCAAACGGTGGATTTGTTTCCAAAACATAATGTCAATGTTCTGGTACTTCGAAGTAGTACTGTTCATGTTACCCAAATTTGGACTTGTGAGTGAAATAGCATTCGAATCCATTTGATCTATTAAGATTGTACTACGTAGTACAAACTATAGTATACAAAGATTAGTATATAAATTGTGGTTTTGCCCAATGCGGAGGGAGAAGAATTAATTAAAGAACGGCCTAAGTCAATCAAATCATGTCCTGTCAAATTTTCTGCCAATCCAAGCTATTGATTTGATTGACTTATTGTCGATTTGATACAAATTTGGGGACGGGGTGCAATCGAATCGCGCCGACCAAACCGATCCACAATCGATCTGATTGGTCGAATTTCATTGATAAGGTTTTGATTGGCTAATCATTTTGAGCTCATCTGAAGTAGCCAATCAAATAGATTTAAATTCCAACGAGAAACCACGCCACAACACGAAATTTCACTCGAAAGCACAATAGGCCGTTCTTTAGTTCATTCTCTTATGACATTCGATTCTGCTGTCGGCTCCAGTTTCGAATCGATTTGACAATAGTAGGAAACGTTATTTTAACTACCGGTACTGCGGGTGCTATCCTTTTCGCTGAAATTTGGACTGGACCACTGATTCGAGAATCGATTTGACAGGCAAAACGTAATGTAAGTGTACAAGTATACAAATTTAGAGATGAACATATTTTTGATTTGGCCAAACTATGCTGATCGACGATTGGTTAAAACTTGACATCATGAGGGTGACATTCTAAAACACATTGGTCATATTCGTTTCATTCTACAGTAACTAGTAACATTAAAATCGGAAGCCCTAAAACTGGAACGAATTTTGACAATATACTCCATGGAAACACGTCTCCTGATAGCAGGATATCGATAGAATCGATTATTCATTGTGGTTGCGATTCAAATTGTCGTGTTGGCAGGGCGATGCTGCTTGTAAAATTGCACGAGGTGCGGAATCATAGGCCCAAATGTCGGGTAGGTGACGGTGCGGTCGTTAATCCATTTCGGAAGTCGCGACCGGATGACGTTCGTGTTGTATCGGCGGTCGAGTAACATGATGCTAGCGTAGTCGTTTCGATGGCGAATGGACCGCCCGATGGACTGGTTCACTGCCTAACAATAATACCCGTGTTAAGTGATGCTTAATGGTATAAGCTGTATGTTGTTGTTACCTTCATGCACAGGTTCGAGTAAAAGTCATGGGCCGACACCCCCGAGACACTTTTGGTCGTGTATTCCATTTGCTGCATCAACTCTGGGTCGTGTGGATTCGGATACGGCAGCCCCACCATCACCACGCAACTATTTATAATAACAAATACACCATTTACAATGAAATTTACCCCATCGATGATATACGTGACGATAGAGTAAATTATATGTCAAAGTACCGTGCCAACTCGTTGCTAAAGTTGATCCCTTCCGACATTTTGCCCCCCACGACACTAAACAGAATCGCCCCTATCACAAACCAAAAACAAGTAGAGGATGAGATTCTGGGGTTGTTTCGATGCATGTGATATTGAGGGTTTCAAGAAAATTTGGCAATTTTGGTGAATTGTTGAAATCACCAGCAAAGCAGTATGATTGGCTAAAAAGGATGAAGGTTGCAATATGATTGGATATTACGAATGTTATATATCATATGTCGAAGGTCCAGCGATTGTTGGTTTATTGAAAGGAAATATTGACTAGAACATACAATAACAATGTAACATTACCAAATTCTTGACAGGCAGCTGCATACGACGTCAAGACGGCGTCGACTTCGGCCGTGCTTTTGGGCTCTCGGAAGGCCATCTTTTTTGCTTCGATAGCTGCCAGCACGCCTGGTTTTGTTGTTAGTTGTTACTCTCCAATAGTTCTTTAAACATGAACCAAGGGACATAGGAAATATATATATATATATACGCGGCACCTGTGGATTTCCAATGCAGGATCACTTGGTTTTCATACGAATACGACGGAAAGAACACGACCACCCCCCCAGGCACCACGCGCACGAGGTTGAGCACAATCCGTCCGACTTCGTCCATGATCTAGCAAGCATATGCGTCTCTTGTCAAATCCGTTTCACTTTCGAGTAGCCTTGAATGACTTTGGCAAAATGTATGTACAATTAGACAAATCTAGCCAATCAAACTACGCGAATTACAGAGAAATGCCAACCAATCGTCGATCAGGGTAGTGTACCCCAATTAAAATGTTCGACTTTAAACGATATATATATAATAAGACTAAAAATCAATATTCTCAAAGCAGCAGCCGAGTCCACCTATCAAAAGCACAGAAAATGTTCATGGCATATTGTGCTTTCGAGTGAAATTTCGTATTGTGGCGTGGTTTCTCGTTGGAATTTAAATCGATTTGATTGGCTACTTCAGATGAGCTCAAAATTATTAGCCAATCAAAACCTTATCAATGAAATTCAACCAATCAGATCGATTGTGGATCGGTTTGGTCGGCGCGATTCGATTGCACCCGGTCCCCAAATTGGTATCAAATCGACAATATAGGTACTCAACAACGTACGGGGCGAGTATTCCGTTTGGAAAACGTAAAGTCCAATTCCGTGTTGGTCGGCCCCACACCCAGCGCGACTAGATGAATATATTATATAAGATGAAATATATTATATACACGATTTGCAATATGGAGCACGGACGTACCGGCAGTCAAGTTTGCAGGGGGGATGATGTGACCGCATGAAAACAGGTCAATGCGCTCACGATCTACGCCCAAGAGGAGCGAATGCAACACTTGAGATACCTACGCCATAAAGTCTTAAAGCCAGCCAACGAGACAGGTACATACAGGTTGCATGGTTCCTCCAGCTAAAATCACAGACTTTGCTTCTGCGACGATGTCTGCAAAGTGCAACGCTGGGTTCAACAGCATGAACTTGAGGCAATTCTCCTTTCCGCCATCTTCCTTTTCCTGTGTGAAAGACATATGTACGTATGTCAACATATCAGGATAGACGTAAAACACAAATTGGTAGACCTGACACGGAAATATACAGTTTCACAGGTCTACCTATTTCATAACTGAACAGAAATACATACTGTTTCATATATATAAATGGTGTTGTTTAAGCTGAATCACCAACAAATCCAACACATTTTCGTGTTGCAGTACGCACGACATATATATATATATATATAACATTGTAAAGTACTATTATACGATATTTCTTTATCCACGGACATCTATAACACTTACGTACTTGTTGCATGACCAAGATGCGGCCGTTGGCAGTAGCCGTAGTCAGCGCCATGAAAAAAGCTCCGATGGTTCGCAAGGGAGACACGTGTGTCGTCACTCCGTCGCCTCCGTCTTCAGTTGCTACAAACCCCAGCAACTATCGCAGAAATGTTAAACATATCGTCCTGTACCACTGTCTTATGCATACCTTTTGCGCCAATTTACTTCGTTCTAGATACTGCTGAATCTTGAACAGATTGATGTTGTCCATTTTCGCCTAACATTAGGCCGGAACTGAGTGGATGTATTTCAGATAGTATGTGCAGTCCTTCACAATCCTACGTGTATATATTATATATGCACAGTCCTTTACTACGTGTATATATATATTTACGGTTCTTTACTACATATTTATATATATATTCAAATACAGTAATTTACTACATGTATATATACAGTCCTTTACAACATGTATATATATATACGGTTCTTGACTACATATATATATATATATAAATACAGTCATTTACTATATTATATATATATATATACATACAGTTTTTTACTACATGTATTTACATATATATATATATATATATATATATATAAATACAGCTTTACTACATGCATTTATATATATACATAGATCGAATGTGCGTACTTCAAAAAGAAAGTCGGTGATGGTAAACATAGCATTGGACGACGATATTTTGGACGTGAGGAACTTGTGGCAATGTTGCAACACCGCCAACAGTTGCTTGATGTAGTACACATTCCGCCCTTGCAGTCGCTTTTCATATCTATAACGATATATGGAATCGTGAAAAGCAACTCGTTCTACTAGTTAGTACCTCTGAAAGTAACTCCATACTTGGCGGCGTGTTTTAATCAGCTACAACAAGGACGACGTTAACATATACGATTCCAATTGAGATATACTTATTGTTATACTAGTCAAATTGAGATAGTATTATATAAATACTATCTCAAGTTGACTAATATAACAATAGTATATATATATTTGGTTCGTACATGCTGCCCTGACACGGTGACGCTGTACGTGTTGTTGACTGCATCGGCAATGTTGTGCGCTTCGTCCAAGATGACAATGCTGCCTTTGATGTGGATACCCAACGATTCCCTCGTGGATTTACTCAGCAACATCGAGTATGGCATCGCAATGACCTATTTTATATTCAATTATACGAGTCATAGATTGATCCTATATATATATATATATATATAACGAATGTTAGACATGTCAAACTATATATTTGAAACCTAAAGACAAGGTACACATGTTATTACTTGTGCGAGGGGGATTGCCGACCGCGTGCCATAGTACGAGCAACTGGACATTTGTTGGCCGAGGTCGTGCAACTCTTCAATATCCTGAACTTGGGCCTACATACATCAAACAAACATCGCCTTATATAGTGTCTTTATTTGCCAATATGATCACACATCCAGCAAAACATTATGATTGGCTAAAAAAATTGAAGGTTGCACTGTGATTGGGTAATAAGAATGCATGTTGTGCTTTAGTCCCAAAAATACCTCTGAAACTTAATTTTATAGGATATTTCGAAGGTCTTTCGATTTCAATTCACACTGTCAGCCAACTGAACCAGAGGACACTTCGAGTAAAAATACACACAATGTATCGTGAACTCGAAATGAACGAAAAGGTATGGAGAATAATAATCGTACCAGGGCATGGTGGCGGAAATGCACTTGGGTGGTTCGTTTATTGTAGGGGCAGCCTGGGGCTTTGGTTTTGGTGGACTGGATCAAGTCGAGGCATTTGTCCGTCATGGCCGTGTCCGACGTGAGCTTTCGAACGTCTGGGTGAATGCACAACGACTTTCTACGGTTCTCTATGATACAAAATTGAACCAATCCCAGCACGCCACGTACCTCGCCCCCAGCGTCAGCGTCCGAATCGACTTAGCAAACGACGTTTTCTTGATTTCTTGCATGAATTGGCTCAGTTGCGAATGCGTTCGACTGCAGTAGAATATCTATTGACCGTACTTTACGAAAGAAACAGTACGATAAAGTACTCATATATTGTCGATTTGATACAAATTTGGGGTGCAATCGAATCGCGCCGACCAAAAATTGATCCACAATCGATCTGATTGGTTGAATTTCATTGAGAAGGTTTTGATTGGCTAATAATTTTAAGCTCATCTGAGGTAGCCAATCAAATCGATTTAAATTCCAACGAGAAACCACGAAATTTCACTCGAAAGCTAGACTATTCAAAGTGTTGTTGTGTTTATCGTAAACTGGAGCGACATGGAGAATGAATCGACCCAACCAAATGTACACAAGAATCATCGGCAGAAGAATTGAGCCAATCAGATTGCAGGAAACCACTATCAACGTCAAATTAGTGTGGAACTTGAATTAGTGTGATACAAAACACCTTTTTACATACAAAATTCAAAGAATCGATTGATAGATTTGGCAAAGAATCAGCACAAAAGTCAACCAAATTTTGGGTAAAAGAAGACTATATCAAAAACTGATGCCACGCGCCTCCGTGTATACCTGGACAACATTGTAGTCGGTGGGTTCGCTGTTGAAGCGATTTGTCGAATCGTCGTCGTCGTCGTCGTCGTCGCTACTCCCTGCGTCTTTCGCCGCGTCATTGCCGCTCTCGTAGGCAGGAACGATGTGCACTTCGTCGCCGTCATCGTGTTTCGTTCCACTTGTCGCTCCAGTGGGGGTAGTGCTTGGTTTTGGTCCATGTGGAGTCCTGCCCGCTCCATGCATGAGCCGCGTGTCGCGAATGCGACTATGCGTGGGGTTTGCTCGAATCTCGGCCAATTTGGCACATACGTCATTCAATGCTCGTTCTGAGGTGGATTGCGCTGGAGCGTGAAAGTTGCGCATCCATGACGGCTCGATCGATGCCGAGTCGGTGGTTGCGACCTCGTCCGCTTTGTCGGGCAAGAGCACTCCATTAGCATCGGTATGGTCGCGCAACCAAGTCAACACACCGCAGATTAAGCTCAACGACTTGCCCTACACAACGATACCTTGAGGGGCACAGCGCAACTCACAACCAACCGTTCCCGTGGGGGACTCGAAGATGCCGATCTTGGACTGCGAGATAGTGTCGTAGATCTGCTTCATCAAGTCTTCTTGGATGGAATATGGAGGAAACGGGAAGCTAAATGGATTCTGCGCGGCATTATCCCTTTCACTTTGCCCATCGTCGGCGTCATGATGCACTTTCTGACGCTTTGCGTCCGACATGGTGTTGATCCTGCTCCGTTATGCAATCCTTATCCGGAATAGCTGCCACGTATCCGGAGTTTTGGTTTTGGCAAAATATTCTATCACAACATTATACTATTAATACTAGTAGTACAATGTGGTGTCATAGACATTAAAGCTGAAGAAGTGACCTCCCGGTACTATTAATAGTATATAGTCTCGATCGGTGTTGCCATGTGCTACGTACAGTAATGGAGTACATGGCGGCAACACTACTACTGTGTTAATAACGTTAGAGTGATTTTACGAATGGGAATATTCCAATGAAATAATCCAACAAATCTATTGGAATATTCGAGTGACCCTGAGTTTTTGCAAATCAGCATATTGCACCTGAACCAGCTCCAATATTTTTAACACCATGCACTACTAGTGTCATTTCAGTGCTGCACGCGTTCTCATCGAGGGGGAGAGAGGCGATATCCTTTATGGGATCTACATCAGTACATCAGTTTGGGTCGTGACGCGACAGTTTGGCTTCGTTTCCCTGATGATGGTTGTGAGTGTATAAAGGTTTGTCAGAAATTCTGCCTGGAAGTTCATTTGGCAAAAATTTCCAGTGGGTGCTCTCACTGGATCATTTCATTGAAATATTCCCATGCGAAAAAAATCAAAGAAGTTAGTCAAATGTGTGTCGCAGTACAGTATTACGGGCCCCTTACGTGGAATCATAGGAAACGAAAACGACTGATACTAAATAGTACATTATTTCTATTAGTCCCGCAGGCCCAGGTCAGTGGCCCATTTCTGTGCAAACACCATCGCGACCATCCCGGCGCCGTTGCGCGTGCTACCAGCAATCGTGCCAGGCCACACACCTCGGTATACTCCACGCCATCCGCCTAAGTACTTAATGCGTTCCGCGAGCGAGTTGCCCCTGCATTAATAGACGTTAGTCTGGTTTCCATGAGGGATGTATCCTACCCAATGCCAGTTTGGGCCAAATTCTTGAGTGTCTCCAGTGGCCAGCAGCACAAGTACGACACCCCACACGCGCCAGACATGACGACGAAGTTGCCTGGAAGGGTCTTAGTGAGGTCCGTCTTTCGGCGCGCCACATCCAAAATGGAAAAGATAGGGATCAGCAACGCTGTCGTGCGCAGCAGCTGCCACAGGACACCTCGGTAGACATGGGTCAGGACCCATGGCTGCTTCATTTGGCCCATGACCTTGGCGTATTCAATGGGGCTTTCAATGATACCGCGGCAGGACGCGGCAAACACGGTGGACGCGACCACCATCGGTCGCACGGGGAACGAAGGCGACAGCTCGTTCTTGAGAAAGTGGTCGTCCGGGAAGCCCTTCTCGATAAACGTAAACGAGAACTCGTACCCGCTGTACATGATGCCTCGGTACACCATTGAGCCCCACAGCGGTGGCACGCAGCCACGGAAGAACCCACGAAGGCCGTCGGTCTTCCACAGCGACTTGGCCACGTCCAATGCGCTAGCGTTGCGCATCGTCGGGTCCATTTGTAGGCGAGATTTGATCGTATCCAGGGGATGTCCGACCACTGTGTGGACGCCACCATAGAAACTGCCAGTGAACAGCGCCAACGCGGCTTCGCGCGGGGCAGATGTGCGGACCTCGGAATGGGACATTGATGGAAATTGTGCAAATGAATGATTTGCTAAAGTGTAGTATCAGTTTATGTCAGATAGTATTATTAGTATATGCAAGGTATAATTAGTATGGCGTTTTGTATAGAGTGCAACAATAAGTATTTCGATGTTTATTAATTGTAATTTAGGTATCTTACAAGCGACGTTATAGCCGGTGTACTGTTGTTGGTTGACTGTGAATTCTAAATTTGTCAACAACACGGCAAGACTTCTTGTTAAAGTTACCAGTAATATAAAATCTGTGGACACGTCGTTGTGCTTCTTTGTCAAAGGTGAGCTGTTCCCCATCATGCTGTATCATTGCGAATAAATCAAACGCTGTTTCACAATGAGCATGAGATTTCTACGCTTTTTAGCACTTTCGTGGCTCTTCCTCACGAAACACACACCGCCAGATTTCAAATCTGTCGACGAATCCAATTTGTTTGTATTCATTGCATTCGTGATTGGCTGTCAAATAATTATGGTATCAAAGTGATTTGGGTACAGTAATACAGTGAACGAAGGAATTTACTGTTAAGCCACACTTCGAATCGAAGTAGAATCGAAATCTTGAAGTGTGATTGGTCAATTAACTGATTTTTGACAACCTTTGTGAAAGCCATGATTCTGATTGGTTAAGTAAAGCAATATTCAGGCGAACTTCGGTGTGGCTAAACAGTAGTACAATGATGCACGTCACCTATAAACTACCAACTTTTCACAAAATTTTCTGACTTCTATTTCGTATTCATTACTCAAAATTGCAGCAAATTGAGACGTATAATCGACAGATTTCAATGTGGTGAAGAAATTCTACGTTTCAGATTCAAATTTTGTGATGAATTGGTCCAGAAATAGATATTTAACCTAGTGGTATCTTTACGTGGAAGCAGTGCCGCTGAGACGTATCTTGATTTTTGTATGTGGCTCGTATCCGTATAAATTATCCGGGTGATTTGGGACCTTTAACCTCCCATTGCTGTGATAACGCATGAAACAATTAGGGCGGGTCTGGATGCCACGAAAAATGGCATAAAATGGCCGATTTTCCAAGAAAAGTTGCCAAAATCGAAATATTCCATTTTTCGAAATTTTGTGCGTCTGGATGCCACCAAAGTTCAAAAATTTATGCCACAATTTCTTGAGAATCGGGTGTTTTATGGAGGTTTGTGTTCACGTTGCAGTCTTTCACTTCACTCGGAAATCGAATATTTCTTCCAAAATTCAGCTGGTATCCAGACAACTTTGGAGATACTTCTTTTCTCCTTTTTTTCATGGGATATCAGACTTTGGGAAAATTTTGCAGACTTGCCAAAACAGATTATGGCATAATTATATGGGGTGGTATCCAGACCAGCCCTTAACGTATTTGGCTTTGGGTTTAACTACATTAATTGTACGTTAAATAATAAAACCTCTACTCTTCGATTTGACCAGTTGGAAATTTATACATGACTTGCACCATACTGTAGCTAGCTAGTACTTGCAGTTACTATTATTAATAATAGTAACGTTAACTGTAAATTCCCTCGTTCCCGGGTACTACATACTGGTACGTGAGCAATCAGTGATTTGCCAACGCATCAGTGATTTACCAAGCTTCATTAGTCAATCGAGTAACAGATTCGACATGATTGGGTATAAATAGAGCCTATGACAAATTTTACCTTTAGGATATTACTACTATACTCCTCGACGTTAAACAGAACACAAATAATCTGCACAATTTATATACCGTGTGAATATAATTAGTCTGAATAAAATGATACTAGTAGTTTGTTTCAACGAAGCCCAACCTAGGCAATACTTTAAGCAAGTACTGGTATAATTTTTGGCAAATCACTGATTCAGTGTTCGAGCGACAGATTCTACAATTTTTTGCTCCTTTAATCAACCCTTTAAATTCATTTACTCTTAAATCATGCGATAGCCCCTGAAACGATGAATTTGGGGATGCAACTCTCACGTTCAGGATGTAAAAAACGAAAAAATGAACGATATCGTCAAGGCAAAATTGCGCAAATTTGGCAAATCACTCATTGCTCACACTAGTATTAATTTAAACAAGGTTCCAAAATGTAAAAGTCCGGGTCAATGTGGTCTGTGTGAGTATATTCGTTGGGTAAGTACGAAACGGATCTCTATTCGTAATTACGTATCGCCTAGGCTAACTCGAAATCGTACCTCAAACATCGAAGTTTCATAGGTTTCGTCGATATTCAACCTAAGGAACCTACTTAAAATTCCTTCAACCTCATAATTTATTGGCTCACATAAGTGAACGTAATGTGTAAAATGTGCTCCAGGATGATTGAAAGTTAACACATTCAATTGAATTCAACCGTTCATTGGGCGAGTTAGTTCATGGCAGATTAAAAAAATGTATGCAAATGTTAACGAATGCCAAAAGTTGACTGCCACTTTATTTTACACTCATTTGAAAACTTACTTGTCAAATTTCACGGTTATCTGTAGCTACAAAACTGGTGACGTAATCTTCGATTTATCAGAAATATCTGTTAATCTTGACAATTTGTACAGTTTATTAGAGCATCTCCAACGCGGGTCCCTATCCCAACTCTATATCTCAAAACTTCGGTTGTACCGTTACAGTACGGATAATTTGGGGCTTATCCGGGCGATTTTGTCCCCAAATTATGGGGACGTGTGAATACATATTCGTTGAAAACTTGGAGTGATGCCTGTGGACAAAGCATTTGGAAACAATTCGTCAAAGTTGAAGCAGGGTTTTTCGAGGTCAAAGTTTAGAGTTTGCTCTTTACATTTGTTACATTTGTTACAAAATGTAATCTGCCTGTTTAGAAATATTTTATACTCCTTCTAAATTTAGACGTGTCAGTTTTCTACTCAAAATATAGAATGTAAAGTTACTGTGAGTTTTTCCCACTGCAATTCACAGTCAACCCATTGGAGATTAAGCCGATGAGGATCACCGCCACGGCCGCGGCGTTGACTATCGCCCTCTGTGCGTTAACGTCTGCAGAGTAAGCACAAGCTGGCACGAGTGCCCCCACACCAACACCATTCGGCGTCACGCACACTCTGACGTACCAAAACCACGGCGACGACCCGTACACCAAGGACAAGAAGGCGCCGAACACCGACGTGACGCTCTACCCCGAAACGCAAAACATCCCGTCGGACCCGACATTGGCGCACCTTCGCCGCCTCCACCGCGCATCCCGTGCTCCATCGACATCTTTGTCGGCCTCTCCGTGTTCCGCGACGGCCTTCCTTTCACGACTTCCCGCAGCCTCCTGCAATATTTAGACGAATTGTATCGCCCAATTGTGATGGAAAATATCCTTTGGTGTAATTTCGTTCTCATGTGGTGCACTTCATCTACTCCAAGTAAAACTTCCAACTGGTTAAATTGAAGAGTGGAGGTTTTATTATTTAACGTGCAATTATTGTAGTTAAACCCAAAATCCAGATACGTTAAATACCGATTTCATGCGTTTTATCACTGGAGTGGGAGGTTAAAGGCCCCAACTGCCTCCGGATATTAAATACGGATAAGAGTCACATACAAAAATCAAGATACATCTCAGGGGCCACCCCTATGGCCAAATATCCAAGTAAAATACCGCTAGGTTAAATATCTATTTCTGGACCAATTCATCACAAAATTTGAATCTGAAACGTAGAATTTCTTCACCACATTGAGATCTGTCGATTATACGTCTCAATTTGCTGCAATTTTGAGTAATGAATATGAAATAGAAGTCAGAAAATTTTGTGAAAAGTTGGTAGTTTATAGATGACGTGCACCATATACATTGTCGATTTTCTTCAAATTTCCCATTTCTTCATGGTTCGTTCACAGTCAACCGAGCACAAACCAAGCTGCTATATCGACGTCGCCCTTTCGGGTGGAAACCCGATCCGAACTTACGCGTCGCTGATTGGTTATAATGAATGGATTATAACCAATCAGCGACACGTAATTTCGCATTGATCAATGGGAGAGATTGGTGCCCGGTTCGCTCGGCGAGTCGGGAAATTCGTACCGAATCTTTTGTAGTGTACATATGTCTCAAATGGCGGAGTTTTACATTAATATAAAGCACATTTGGTTTGGCCAATGAGAGTCGCGAAACAAATATATTCAGCCAATCAAAGCAACACCAGGTGTTGTATCCGAATGCATCAATGTAATTGGTGGATACCTACTAATTAAATGTTGTATACAACACACTGCATCCATTTAATTGGTGGAAATTTCTACTGATCAGATCAAGGTGACTATTTAAGGGGTTATTCTGTCATATTGCCACCCGTTTTCGATAGCCAATCAATTTTCGCAATTTGGTCCAGGGGTCGCCATGATAGGCCAAATTTCCTCGAATGGACACACTATAATTAAGTACGGAGTACAGATTTCATGAAGAAGAACATTTGCGGTCAAATTTCTGTACGCTACCTGTATAATAAAGCACGGAATATGGGTGAATATGATCACTTTGCGGACACCGGACAATTTCAGTCGGACATACTTGACATTTGTATTGGACTTACGGGGAGCATATTTTGTCCGAACGAATATGTTTGGACATACTTGTGTATTGTATACACCCGCATAAGAACGATCAGCTTTACAGTAGCGAGCCGGTACAACGATTCGCATTTAATGCGTAAATCTAGTTAAGTGCGTGTCCAAAGCCATACTTGAAGTATCAAGCAAATATTTGTCCGAGTCGTTCTGGTACGGTATGAGTCGTAGTAGATTTCATGAATAAGAACATTTGCGGCATAAAATGGAAAAACACTCAGTGAATTGTAAGAAATCTACGTATTTCCCAGTGGGATATACATGCCATGGTAAGTTGTTCCCAGTTTTTCATCAACAAGCGACATGCCGCCGTACCACTACCGTCTCGAACACTATTCCATTCTCGAACCTAACTCATGCAGAAAGGCTTTCTGGACGGCGTGCTCGCGTACATTATCTTTGGCCTGTACCCGTTGTACTGGAAACTGCTCGCCGATGTTCCGTCCATGCAAGTCCTCGCGCACCGCATCGTGTGGTCGATCCCTCTGGTGGTTGTGGTGATTGCCGTCACAGGTCAATCGGCCGCGTTGCTCGAAGGCGCTCGACATTGGCGGCACCTCGGGATTTACACCGTGTCTGGCTTGTTGATGGGCACCAACTTGTTTGTGTCGGTATGGGCCGTGAACGCCGGGTTCATCGTCGAAATGAGCTTGGGCTACTTCATCAATCCCGTCGTGAGTGTGCTGTTGGGCGTGATCTTTCTCCACGAGAAGCTTCGGTTGTTCCAGTGGCTGTCAGTGGCGTTAGCTGTGATCGGGGTGGGGGTTGTCACGTTTGGCTATGGCAAGTTCCCGTACATTGCGTTCACGATTGCGTTTGCGTTTGGGTTTTACGGCCTCGTTCAAAAGAAGGCGCCGCTCAGCCCCGTGCAAGGCGTGACCATCGAAATGTCCATCCTGGCCATCCCGAGCTTGATCTATTTGTTCGTGTGCGAAGCACAGGGCGACGGAGCGTTTGGCCGATCGCGCGCGGCGCTCAACTGGCTCATGGTTGGGTGCGGCGCCATGACCGTGGTGCCGCAGCTGCTCTTTTGCTCGGCCGTGCAGAGCATCCCGCTGTCGTTCTTTGGGATTCTGCAGTTCATCGGACCCACCATGAACATTATCATTGGTGTGTGGGTGTATGGCGAAGACTTTAGTGGCGCAACGATGATTGGGTTCATCCTCGTGTGGGTGGCGCTCGTGGTTTTCACAGCCGAGAGCTTTATCGTCAAGAAACCAACCGAAGTCACTTGCAACTACAGCGACGACGACGACGACTCAGTCATCATTTGGTTGGCTTGAGACGATGTAGAGATCGTTTGTCTAACTTATGAGACGATGTAGAGGTCGTTTTTCTAACTTATAATTATTTAGACGATGTCGATCGATCGTCTTATTTGAAGCAGGGGCTACAACCAACGCAAGTTGGAAACTCGAAGACCCATCCAGTCGTCCAAAGTAAAGAAACTTCGAACCATTCATAATAACTACGTTAACATTGATGACCAATTTATGGTGTACTTCGAAGTACTTTTCAATTATTCGAGGCAAAGTGTAGGGACCGTTTATGGTGCACGATTTAACCTTAAAATATGTGCACGGAACAGTTTAAGGTGCATTCAAATTGGCCAATGGAATTGCTTGATTTTTTGGAATAGCCAATAACTACAACAATACAATCACCAACACGTTAGCAAAACCTACATGCTCATGTCAAGCCTTGATGCACTCGTAGCTTGAAACATTTTCACGTTACACTAACGTTGTTGCAGTTATGACGACATGTCTAGCGTTTGGGAACGAGCCCGCCCGGGGTATTCCAAAGGTACTATATAACGTTCCTCGGATGGGGGTCGTGCTTTGTTACATATGGTGCATTTCATCTAAAGACTACAGATCAGCCATCCTCAGGAGGAGACGTTTTACTATTAAACGCCTCAGTTATTTCAGTTAAACCCTCATAATGCTGACGTTAAATTATTTTTACTTACGTTTTTTATCTGGTGAATAGGTTAAACATCCTGAATAATCCGGATACAATGGAAACGTTCATACGGATAAGTGCTGTATACAAAGACCAAGATATACTTGATGCTCCTTTTCGGCCAAAATGTGCCTGGCTCCATATATTTCCTTACAAAAAGGCTGGTTGGTTTAAATTCTATTAACAGTTACTCGATCAATTTTTCACCAATCGAAATTTTGAACCGTAACTTCTGTTGGTCTTGACCAGTTCTATCGTTATTACTTATTTTCCTAAAAAATATCAATACAAAGTTGGAATAGCTGTCGAAAGACAAGGCATTTTTTTGTAGTCTTTAGTTGAAATGCACCATATCTAGTCTTTTGACAGATCAGCGCCCACGCTGCTTGGTTCGTTCTTGGATGGACTATGTTCAACCAGTTGAAACGAAGACGATTCAATGCCTTGCAAGTCCACTGCGTCCACCACCACGACGTCTTCGTCCGACGTTTTTTTTCGCAAATCGTGTACCATGTCGACTGTGAAAATGGTTAGGGCCACCCACACAACGATAAACCCGATCAGTTTAGACGTAGAAAACGCTTCCTTGTACAGGACAACTCCGCACAAAAACTGGAGGATGGGGGTGGTGTACTGCAACAAGCCCAGTGTCGTGAGTGGGATTTCCTTGGCCGCGGACGAAAACAAGAGCAGCGGAATCACAGTCACGATGCCGCCGCCTACCATGAGCACGTTCGATGTCGTGTCCACATGCAGGAACGCGCCGTCGCCGCAACCCTCTACGACAACTAGGTACACGAGCGCCGGCAGAAACAATATCGCAGTTTCCATAGTCAACCCTTGCATGGACGTGAGTGGCGCTCGCTTCTTTACAAACCCGTAGCCGGCAAATGACAACGCCAAGCTGAGCGATATCCACGGGAACTTGCCGTACGAGATGGCCAAAATCAACACGCCACCGGTGGCCACCGCGATAGCCACCAGTTGACCGCGTCGCAGCCGTTCTTTGAAGAACACCACGCCCAACACCACAGTCAGCAACGGATTGATAAAGTACCCCAAGCTGGACTCGACGACATAGCCTTCGTTGACCGCCCACACAAAAATGAGCCAATTCGCGGCAATGAACACGCCAGATACGGTGTACGTCAGGAGGTTTCTCCATATGAACGCCGCGGCTCGAAACTCGGTCCACTGCTGCGACCCAAACACGTACAGAAGCAGCATGAACAGCGACCACACGATGCGGTGCATCGCCAACTGGATGGCCGGAATGTGCTGCAGTTGCTTCCAGTAGATGGGAAACACACCCCAAATTGCATACGCCAACAAGGCGTTGAGCACGCCAATGTGCAGCACCGTCGCCATAGCTTTGTGAATTTTTGTTTGCATCATCGCAGGGTGAAAATCCGGATAATATCCGGCATGTTTGAGATTTCAAGTTGAAGTTGCGACGGGCGTACAGTGTAACGACATTTCGAACCAAAGTGAACAACCTTCCCATTTTGGAGTTAACATGGCACTCGTCACGCTCTAAGTCTGACCTTGCTTGTTGTTGTAGGACGCACTTGATGATAGAGTTGGTAAGTCGTGATTGGTGTACATACCGTTCGTTGTACGTGCTGCTCTCAATTGATCAAGCTGTTTACTATGCATACACTGTACCAGACACAGTTTTTCGAAGCAACAAGAAGTTCCATCTAGAAACCCATATGTAAACCATTTTACCTTGAATTTTTTTGTTCGAAGTATTCCTGTGGTTCTAGGCCACTCATTACTTTCTTGAGGTGCTGTATAAACCGAATACTGTAACGTTACTGACAGTGTATTCACAAAGGCCAGTCGTGGCTGCTATATACCAACATCTAATGATCTTTTGATATGCATGGAATGAATATCATAGGCCTTATGTACTGGCAAAGCTGCTGTGGGTGTGAAAAGGAGTGGGCTAACCGGGTCGAAGCCAAGTCTGGGAAGCCATACAACGTAGCCACATGCACGGCGAGATACAAGGCCTCGCCTCGCTGGTTCACTGAGTAAACTACTTGTAGTTGACGGACGCTATCGCCGTAGACAGTTATGGTGTTAAGCCGCGATACTGAGCCAGACGGAAACTTCGGAGGAGTCCATCGTATTCGGCCTGGTTGCTGGTGGTGGCGGACGAAATATAGTGTGCGGTGTAATAGCAGAGAAGGGGGGGTCGCGAGGCATGACGATGGCGCCAGAGCCACCATACGAAGGCTCAGGGAACACCACTCCCTCGTTGCGCGATGGGGTTGAGACGCGCTGGGGGGGAAGGGGGGGCTGAGGTTGCGGCAGCGTCACTAGTGTGATAAAGCTCAGCTTGTGAGAGCCTCGAAATGGGTTTGTAGAAAAGATGTAATGACTTTTCCAAGTCTGTGTTTGATTGATAAGAAAGTGTTGAACTTAATTTGATTCGTCCGTCCAACTACAAGCAATTACAGTACGTACGTGCTCAATTGCATGCCGCGGCTAAATCCGAACGGTTTCACCTATTTCGAGTGCCCCCCCCCTTGCCATTTTTGCAACAACTCCAGCACATGTCGACCACAATCAAGCCCAGTCCGTCAAGGTACTAAGTTCACGCCCACTCTATTCCCCTCACTCAACCAATCGATTCAGATATGGTCTGTCCGCTCAGAGGCGTGATCGACTCCTCCGAGTGCTCCACAGATCAACGCAATCCATGTCTGCGCTCCCCAAGTTCACATGCCCCACACCCTCCCACCCTGCTGTGAAGTTCTCGGGTCGCACAGATGCAAAGACCACACGTAACTCGACGCGGCAGCAGCAGAACTCCCACCAGCTTCCTACGACCCAACCATTGGCACAGCCTACCACAAAAGCGTGGACAACAACTCCCAACTCCAACCCTTCCATTAGCCATCAGGTACGTAAGTCTAGCACATTGTCCATTGGACTCCTCAAAGATGGGGGCTGCTGCGATCGCGTAGAACGAACAACGGACGATCCAACCAAGTGCTATATTGGACGGGCTACAGTCACACGACCAACCAGAGCGACACAAACATCAACATGCCGTGGTCCGAGATGCCCTGCACAATTTCACGGAAGCATTGCTCTGTCGTCGACCTGACGACGCCTTTCACGTATGTACGCTTGGATTGGCTCGCAGATTGGGAATACACGTATCATGTAGGAGTTCGAACAGCACAAGCGTGACTTGTTTGGTACCTGCGAGGCGCAGTGTCCTGCCGCGACCTGGGACTCCATACGTGTAATAACTTTTACAAATACTTGGACTTCAATGCGATCGGTTGTAGGTATCACTGGAAGCGCAAGTGGCTCAAGTACGGGATATTGTTGAGGCAAATTTCGCCATGTTTGAAAATGTAAACAAGTGAGAAACACATCACCAGCTGAAAAAATCGATAGATTCGCACCAAGCAAAGAAGGGGGATTGTGCATGTGAAGGCGTCGCAAATGTTGCAAATTCACCAGCGGCAGCTCCAAACCGCCCAACTCGAACAGGAAAATGTAAGCTTATTACCTCCACAAAACCACAAGTGAAAAGTCACGGGGGGCAGCTGGCCTACGCGGACTTGGTCGAGCAGGAACGACTGATCCAAAACCGTCGGATGGCTGCCAAGCATGCCTCCAAGCTCAAGACCCGCAAACAACACCAAGAGGTATAAGATATAATATTATCCTACTATATTAGTACTTGCTGGTGTTGTTACATGGTTTGCTATCAACTAAACCGCCAGGATAGGCTCTCCTCGTGCAAATTCAAGCGAATCCACATCATCAAGCAGACCAAGTCAAAGTTATTGAACGCACTGCAGTTGCAGCTAGTGGAAAAGACCTGGTATTGCCTTTGAGCCAAGATTTGGACTTTAGTGCTGCTCGATTGTTTGTACTGAATTTTGTATCTAATAGTGTTGCCAACACGAATATTGTTGACGAGTGGATGATTTGATTGGCCATTTGACTTGTTTTGATTGGTCAATCGATTGTCTGTCGATTTGGTGCTCGCTCGATTGAGCACCCCCCACACACACTCGACACCACTGTTGGTTGCTCTGCGATACGGGACGTTGGACAATAAATAGTGTGATGAGATGATGGATATACTGTTGTGAAGCCATTTAGATCAAGTCAAATGCTGCTTTGATTAGTTTAAATTGCGACCGCCGTGGTGGGTCGATGACGATGCGAGCGCATGTGCCAGTCGTCGGAATGACTATGACGTGGACTCTCGGACGGCCAAATTTGCCATGCCCGCCGAAAGATTCGGCCGCAAAGGCGCTCCGTGGTTTGACGAATAAATTAATTATTATTGTCGATTTTCTTCAAATTTACACGGTTCGTTCAACCGAGACATCTGATTGGCTAATATCCACCCTTCGCCAAAAATCCAAAATGTCCTGTACCCAATCAGCGGCAAGTACGTTTGGATTGACCAATGGGAGAGAGATTATGGAGCCCTGTTTGGTTATCCAAATATATTACTTTTCACTAAGTCTTCAAGCCAACCAAAAAAACCAAACAATAACTCGTATCGACATCCGGTACTTGTATATTATTACTCTGATCCAGTATTAATAGTCGTAGGCAAAATCAAAAATCCAGTGCGTTGTCGAGGTCATTGTTTACTGAAACAGTTCGGGGGTTTGGTCTTCCACATACAGCAGCGTATCCTTGACCTTGTTGCTCCATCCGCCCAAACGTTCCTGCAATTCTTGCAGTTGCTGGCGTTCCAACACTCGTGGCTACAGAAAAATACATCAAAATTGCATGGGAAATGTCAATATATATATATCTATACCTGCACCCAATGCACCGACACGATCTGGTCCACTTGATCGATCGTTCCTTTGATCAACCCCAGCGACAACGCACGCATAGTGAGCCATTCCACCTGGTTCAGAGGCAATTTGGTGGCCGTGGCGATGTCGTGAAATGGAATATTGCGCTCTTGAGATGGACGGTGAAAGATCAGCACCATCAGAGCCAGCAGCGCCACCTTTTCCTTGACGTAATCCGCCTTGTTTACCAATGCAGGCTACACAATCCAGGTTATATATATATATTTGTATTTATTTATATATATATTTGTATTTGTATTTATATATATACTTGTATTTATATATATTTGTATTTACATATATTATATATATATATATATTTATATATTATATATGTGTATTTATATATTATATATATATAAAACAAAACAAATAAAAAGATCTTGTTTTTCATTCGACACTGGAGCGACAACAAGAAATAATTGCAGTAGGTAGGACGTATGTAGCCAATCCGGTTGTGGAAAGCATCCACCAACATGGAATTGGTGTATGACACAAATTAGTGTGAGGTTCATCAATACTTCACACACAAATTAGTGTGAGGATCATCAATTCACACAATCCATCATTCTAAATATTCTATCGCTTGGCTGAAATGGTAATATTGATCAATCCAACAAATATTAGGAGTAATATGTTCTTAGGTAGATGTACCTGGGCATTGTACTCGGCGCGATGGTTGCCGACAATGATATTGAACTGGTCAATATCTCCTCGGTTGAACGCGTGAAGCAACTCGCTGAGCCACTCCTTGTCAGTGCCTTTCAATGCACTCAAGATGGGCGTCGCCAGCTAATTCGTCCACAACTTGCATTACAACGAGAATGGACATGATGATATGATCATGCACCCACCACTTCGCCAAAATTGAACACGTTCTCCCCCGTGAGTGCGGCAATGCTGATATTGACGGCCAGAGCGAAACGTTCCGCCGGCTGGATGTCGTCATACAGAGAATACGCCAAGAACATCAACGCGCTCTTGTAAAACTTGTCTGCGGGGCTGTATGTAGGACACACATCATGATATGGTGAGGAGATGGAAGGGAGAGAAGGAGGTTTGGATGTACCCAACAGCCGAGTAGTACTCGCATGCGACGCGGTAGTAGGCAGCGTGGACAACCGGGTCGGCGCCCACAAGCCCTTCGACTGCTTCTTTGTTGTCGGCCAAGATGGCCTTGACTTCGGCCAATTGCTTCAACTTGACCTGGAAGCTCGCCGTGTACATGCGGCACACCAAGACGGACTCGATGGCGTGGGGGTTGGGCGTCGTGTGCTGAGTGATCTTGGTCTTCTTCGTTTGAAGATACGTCAAGATTGATGTCAGGAACGTGACCGCTTGTTGGGGATCTAGATCGATATGGCGACAAAGTAAGAGCGTGACAATGGGGGAGGAGGAGGAGGAGTGTGTACCAGCAAAGCGTTGCGCAATGTGTCCGCAGATCGTGACGAGTGACAGTTGGTTGATCTTCTCCTGGAACGTCGAGAGGAACTGCGCGTACAGATCATACCAGTTGGTCCCAATCGCAGTGGTTTCATCCTTCACGAAGGCCAAGATGTCCACCGTTAGTTCATGATACAGCTTGCGTCCGAAGAGCTCGGACAAGCGGGCGTAGCGCGCCGCCAGAGCGGGGTACTTTTGCTCTTCTTGACGGAGGAAGTCCATTGTGATGTTGTGTTCGCAAGAATGATGTGATCCAAAACACGAAGGATTCGAGACCCCAAGTTGATCAATCTGCGGATGGTACTTGGGCCAATCATACGCAGGAATTACGGCCATTTTAGCCAATGGCAATCCTTAAGTTTTCATCCGGATAAGGTGGCATGCCACCACCATAATTCAGTACGTTTATGCCAACCGTCGCGCCGCAGCTCCCACAACGAGTTCCTACCTGACGACAGCAGCTTTGTAACACGACAATCTGATGTGATGACCCTAACGTTATGACCCTAACTTATTGTGAAGGGCCATTATGCATCAATATGAGAGCCCATCATAGGCAGCAACTTGGGCTTGGCGGTCGCGACGCTTGGCGCTCGTCGAGGTGGTGGACCGCTAGCGGATGACCCGCCCAGTGCCTTGAGCATCGACGCTTGTTGGTGCTTGAGCTGTTGGATTTGAGCCTAGTGGACTCGGTGGTTTAGATATCGCAGTCATACTATGTACACATGAGTACCTTTTGCAGTTCGCTCTCACGTCGAAGCTCCATCTCGCGCTCGTCCATGGATCGCTTGTCGCGGTGCTTGTTCTTGAGGTCATTCACTTCGCTTTGACTCGACTTGACGGCGTGGAACTCGCGGCGCAGGTCGTTCACCTATGCGTCACCACCCGTGAGTACATTTGCCGAATCTTGAGACTTTGGGCACCTGCACGGTGAGGATGGCGTTCTCACGCTTGAGGCGCATCATTTCGCTGTGGTTGATCTTCAACCCCTTGACCAGTTTGCACTTCATGCTCTCCACTTCCTTCTCCAAGTATTCTCGCTGGCGATTGTACTCTTGCTGCGCGTCGACGTCGCTCGCGACTTCGGTCACAATTTTGCCCGTTTCGTACTTCTTGTACAAGGCTAGTACAGTAGTAAAACCAGCAAATTTTAGGTCGTTTCCCCCCCATATCACCTCTGAACAGGTCGTACCAATCACAGACGCCTTGAGCGCTTTTTTCTTTTCCAGCAGCTGGGCGCTGTCGTGCAAGTCGCTTTGGAACTGTCGAATGAACTGGCGCATCGTTTTGATCTCGAGCGATTGATGGTTGATGTCCTAGGCATTGGCAATCGTGACGATGCCGTACATTTGATTTCCCCATTCGTACAACTGAGTGTAGTACAAACGACATTTTGATTGGCTAAACGCAACGCACAAATGCATGTCGAATATATATCGAACATGCATTCTAGCCAATCATCGACACGACATAATTTCCGAGAGACCAATCAGAGTCCTCCATATACATACCTTTTGCATGCCATCCATTTTCAACGTCAACTCGCCAATCATCAAGTCCAGCGCGGCGTTGGACTTGTGGTAGTGCTCCAGCTCTTGGTCCATTTCTTCGATTTGGAGCTTCATGTCGGCGATCTCGTTTTCGCGGGGTTCAATCTGCCGCTTGAGTTCCTTGATCTTGTAATCGAGGACAAACTTGAACTTTTCCAGCTCCTGGTTCTTCTTTTTCAGGTCGTAAATGCGCTTCTCCTTGTCCTGGATCGTCTCTTCGCGCTCTCGGATTTCCTTCTTGTGGCCCTGGATATCCTTTTCCAAACCCTTGATGTTCTCGTACAGTTCCTTGCCCTTTTCCTGCAAACTGCGAATCTCCTCTTTTTGGTCCTCAATGTCCTTTTGCAACGCCGTAAACTTTTTCTTCATGATTCCGTTTTCGCCTATGAAACCCATAGATATCGTCATTGTTGATGACCTATCAGTCATAGATCGAACCTTAAATCCACGTCAATTGCCGACAAAAAACAACGTAATTATATAAATCCAGATACAAAGATCGATTTTCGCACCTTTGAGCCGTAGCGTTGCCTCGCGCTCGTCGAGAAACTTGGCGTCGTACTTGGCTTTGACTTCTTCAATTTCCAAATCCGCATCCTCTTCAACTACAAACCACCCCACGTGTTAGAATGCATGGCCACAAATGGATTCGTAAACCCTGAAACCCCGACCATAAATAGTCGTACTTTGGGTCTTGTTGTCTTCGAACTCTGTCACAATTTCATCCTTTTCACCGCCCAGTTGCGTCTGCTTGGTCTGCTCGCCTTCGACCTTTCGGTCATATTCCGACGTCATTTCCGCCAGAAATTGCGTGTGGCTCTCCACGAGCAGCTGATTTTCCTCGTCCCACCGCGCAGTTTCCTCATCGCGCTCTTGGATCAGTGCGTCGTACCGTTCGACTTCAGCCTTGATCTTGGCCTCGTAGCTACAAATAAAATGTTCGTGCAATACAAGTATATATATATATAGAAAGAAACAAAGTACGTGTCGCGAATGCCATCCAGTTCGTGGGTATGCGTTGCTTCCAGTTCGCTCAACTTGGCGTCGTACTCGGCCTCCATTTCCCGTTTGTCCTCTTGTAAATCTGTGCACCGTTGCTTGTCCTGCGTTAATTCGGACGTAAACTTGTCACTACCAAGACACAGGGTCACAATGTTAAAGGAAGATGTTTAGCGTCAATTTTCATTATGTGTTAAAGTCTGGGTGAGTAAATATATCAAGTACCTGACTTCTTGGATCTTTTCCTTGTAGTTCATGTCTTTCAACCGCAACTGATACTCGTTGTGGAGGGTCAACTCGTCCACTTTCGCCTTTAGCTCTGTTGTATTATCGTTCAAATAGTAAGATACGCACCCCACAAAGTAATATTATATATATATATATATATATATATATATATATATATATACCTTGCATGGTTTGGTTTTTCTCTTCCAAGTCCGACTTGGTGACGAGAATCTCTTCGGCAAACGCCATGGCGTTTTCGCGCTCGCTGCGACCTGAACATATCAAAATAAAGTTAGCAAAATATCAACACAACCATCACTTTTTGTATAATTTCATGCAATAGTTGGTGATTCATCTACCTTTGAGCTTCGAACTCGACAGTTCCTTGGTTTCAAAAATGCACAGCGACCCGTCGTCGCCCACCGAAAACAAGTATTGATTGTCCTACAAATAATCAATAGAAACATGATGGTCAGTAGTATTTCATGGTATTCTAGTTGCTCGAGTAACGTTAGTTGCTCTACAACGAACGTA